CCTCTCTTCCTCAGTCTGCATGTTTTCCCTCTCCACACCCCAGTTCTCCCCATCCCTCGGCTTGAATCTCATGCTGTGGCTGCTGTCAGAATCCCCTTTCTGCCCTGTTCTTCTGATTTGGACTTAGTCTCCTTTCTTCTCAGGGTCCTACTCTTTCTGTTCCTCAGCTCTTGCCCTTCATCGTTTCTGTCTTTCTCTCTGTCATTCACGCTCACCGTCTCACTGCTCCTCCCTGTCCAGGATGGACACAAAACCTACCACCAGGTAGCAGAAACTTGAACCAGCTTTGGAATCAGACCTAGCTCACAACAGGCACTCAAAGATACCTACCGAAAGAAAGAACAAATTCACCCTTCATTGCTTACTCTGTATTTAGTCTCCAAAGATCATCACACTTGGATCTTGTTCTTAAATCCATCTGCATTTATTACTTATTCGACAATTATTACCTCAAAAAATAGCAAGTTCCTTCTATGTCAGAGCCACTCCCTCCGTTCTAGGGATAGAAGTGTCAAAAAGCCCACATGTGAACAAAGTAGTTCAGATCCATAAAATAAAAAGGAAAAAAGAGAAAAGAGTGAAGAAGCAGGCCCAAAATTTGTTTTTGTAGATTTTGCATTCTAGATGAGATGTATAGGGGCCGGGCACAGTGAGTGGCTCATGCCTGTAATCCCAGCACTTTGGGAGGCCGAAGCCGGTGGATCACCTGAGGTCAGGAGTTCGAGACCAGCCTGATCAACATGGAGAAACCCCCATCTCTAAAAATAAAATAAAATAAAAAATAAATAAAATAGATGAGATGAACAGGAGAAAACTGGGCACATAAATCAACCAGCTCATTTCAGACACTATTAAATACATAAGGAAAAAATCCATTAGGGAGACTGAAACAAACAAGGAATTGAAAAGAAGTCAGGACTCTCATGATGCCATTTCTTCTTCCCCATCACACCTCTTAGCGTTACTGGGTGAATGACCGACACTGGGCTGGCCAGGATCGACCCATATTCCTGCATCTGGGGGGCGAGGGCTGCCTTGGGCCTGGTTCAGTGATGAAAGGTAAGAAGCAAGTTTGGGAGAAAGACAGAGTTGGGAAGCCGGTGGGGACCAGGAAGGGGAGCTGCGTATTGCAATGCTGTGAGACCTGAGGGGCGCAAGGGCTGACACTCAACTTGCATCTCACCCCCCAACCCCATGCACTCTTCACAGGCCACCCCGCAGCCTTGGCCCCAGCCTGGGGTGCCCTGGTGATAAGCCTGGAACACAGGTTTTATGGCCTGAGTATACCTGCTGGAGGCCTGGACATGGGCCAGCTCCGCTTCTTGTCCAGCCGCCATGCGTGAGTGCGGGAAGGGAAAGTGGGGTGAAAGGACAGGAATGTCTGTGCTTTGGCATGTCTGCACCTGTGTCTCTGTCCTCCACTGTTGAAGTCAACCTCTGAGTCTCTGATTCCCTGTTTTCCTCTGGCTTTCATAGCGTCTTGTTTTCCTTTCCATGCTGGGTCTCTGTCTCTCCCTATCTGTCTTTCTCTTAGACTGTATTCTTACCTCTGCTTCTGTGTCTCTGTCTGAAGTAAGCCACTGTATCACTGTGCAGACCACCAGCATTTCCTACCTGGATTACAGAACCAGCATCCACCATTTTTCCTGCTCTGCCCTTGACTTCCAGGTGGAAATTGGAATAATTGTGTTAGAGCATAAAGCAGGTCATCATCCTCCCTGGCTCAAGTCCCTCACATATCTCTGTATCACTCAGAGTAAAGTCAAAGTTTTTACAATGGCCACGAGGTCCAGTGGGTTTTGGACCCTTGTCAACTCTGACCTCCACTCTCTCACATTGTCTGGGCTGCAGTTACACTGAGGTCCTCACTGTCCTCCAGACTTACAGGCACATTCCTGCCTTGGGCCTCTGAACTCATCTCTCTGCATGGCATGGCCTCCCCAGATGTGTGTATGGCCCCTCCCCAGCGTCCCTCAGTGCATCTCAACTCCCACCATTTTCCTCCCCACTTTACTTCACCTGTTCTTTGTTCTTTCATCTGCTTTACTCTCACAGAACTTAGCTTTTTCTTTCCTCACTGGTGTCTCTCTCTGTAATGGTCTATTTGCCTCTTTCTCATTTGCTCTGTCTCTGTATCTACATCTGTGGCTCTTTGTCTCCCTGTCTCTGCATCTGTCTTTTCTACAAGCTAAACGGTTTTCTTTCTTTTTTTTTTTTTTTTTGAGACGGAGTTTCACTCATGTTGCCCAGGCTGGAGTGCAATGGCGCGATCTCGGCTCACCGCAACCTCCGCCTCCTGGGTTCAGGCAATTCTCCTGCCTCAGCCTCCTGAGTAGCTGGGATTACAGGCACGCACCACCATGCCCAGCTAATTTTTTGTATTTTTAGTAGAGACGGGGTTTCACCATGTTGACCAGGATGGTCTCGATCTCTTGACCTCGTGATCCACCCGCCTCGGCCTCCCAAAGTGCTGGGATTACAGGCTTGAGCCACCGCGCCCAGCTGCTAAACGGTTTTCTAACTGCAGCAGGATGGCACTGACTGCAAGCCATTTCAGAAAGGTTAGGGAAGAAAAACAGCCCTAGGGAGGAGAAAGAGGATGTTAGACATATCCACACTTCACTCTCCACCTCTCTTTGTGTCTCTTCCCTCTTCCAGTGCCTTCTAACTCTTCAGCTTAGGAGCCTTCTCCTCTGAGTAGCCCTCCTTGACTGCCCTCAACCCTTCCCTACATTTGTCAGGTTTTCATCTAAACTGACTTGGACATTTTTCGTCTCCTACCTAAAACAAGAAGGGAAAAAGGGTGCAGGGTTTCTAGAAAGTGGACGAGCACAGGGTCTCCCGTGGCCTAGGCACACGTGTTCTGGGAAGTGCATGTGGCTTGGAGAACCCTTGGAAACACATCCTGAGAAAACAGACCTGGCTTCTGGCCAGATTCATCCATTCACATCTCTGAATTCGGGTTTCCCGGATAGTGGGGAAATCTTCAGGGATTCCCAGCGATGAGGACCGACCGAGCCTCCCCTCTGACCCTAGGCTGGCTGATGTGGTCTCTGCCCGCCTGGCACTTTCCCGCCTCTTTAACGTCTCCTCCTTCAGCCCCTGGATCTGCTTTGGAGGCTCCTATGCCGGCTCCTTGGCCGCCTGGGCCCGGCTGAAGGTCCTGGGACTCCTCCGGGTGGGCTGGGGGGAGGGAACTCGGACTCCAGGGCCCCCGTCTCAGATCAGAGGAATGCCCTCCCACCACGCCCCTTCCTTCCTCCCGCCCCACAAGCATTCTGCACCAGCTGTCCTCACCGGAGCGAGTGAGTGACACAGGGACAGCAAGACGTGGGATTCAGGCCCCCAGCCGCAGGCTGACGCTGTCTCCCCCCTCAGTTCCCGCATCTCATTTTCGCGTCGGTCGCCTCGTCCGCCCCGGTGCGGGCCGTGCTGGATTTCTCCGAGTATAATGACGTAAGGATGTCGGGCAGCAGGTGCGGGAGGAGGGGGCCCAGTGGGCGGAGGCCGGCGCTTCCCGATAGCGTCCTCTGCGGTCCGACCACAGGTGGTGTCCAGAAGCCTTAAGAGCGCGGCGATCGGCGGGTCCCTGGAGGTAGGAGGTGGGGCCTAGTCCGAGGGGGACTGGGAGGGTAAAGAGGCCTCGGATGCCGGGGAAGAGAAGGCCTCAGGAGGGCAACGCCTGCAGGGGGCGAGGTCTAAGCAAGGTTGGAGCGGGAAGAACACGCAGGTTTTGGGAGAAGTAGGAGCTGACGAAGAGGCGGGGCACCAAGAAAACAGGCGTTCCCTAGAGGGGGCGGGGCTTGGGCAGGGACCAGCCTATCCGGAGGTGAGGCTCAGAGTGGGGCGGGGCCTGCAGGGACAACCCCAGGAGGCCCAGAAGTGGGCAGAGCCTGAGCCGAGAAGGTCGGAATCTGGCTGCAGAAAAGTGGGGAACCCTAGGAGGACGGAAGTCCTGGGAAGGGAAAGCGGAAGCCCTGCCTGGGTCTTGGCAGACACCTCCTCTTGCTCTCCACAGTGCCGGGCGGCGGTGTCCGCCGCCTTCTCGGAAGTGGAGCGGCGGCTGCGCGCGGGTGGGGCGGCTCATGCAGCGTTGCGGGCAGAGCTGAGCGCCTGCGGGTCCCTGAGCCGCGCGGAAGACCAGGCGGAGCTGCTGGGGGCGCTGCAGGCTCTGGTGGGAGGTGCCGTGCAGTATGATGGGCAGGCAGGAGCGCCACTGAGCGTGCGGCAGCTCTGCGGACTTCTCCTCGGGGGCGGGGCCAACCGCAGTCGCTCCACGCCCTACTGCGGGCTTCGGCGGGCTGTGCAGGTGAGTGCTCCCTGGCGCGGCCGGAGGAGTTAGCGGACAGTTTCCTGCCCACTTCCCTTGTGTGATCTTGGGCAAGCGAGAACCTTCTCTGAGACTTCGTTTTCTCATTTGTAAAATGGGATGACACCTCGCAGGACCGAGGGAAGGTGAAATGGCTGTAGAGCCATCAGCTGGGAGCCTAGCACACTGCGTGCAAAGGTTAAGAGACTTTTGCCTGTCTTGTCCTGTCCTGTGCGTTTTGCCTGGCACATGGCAAAATGCTCAGTATTTATAGAATGAATGAAAAAGTGTATCCCTGGGGATAGGGTTCTCCCACGTATCTGGGCCTACAGCCTCTGAGTCCGCAACTACAATCTGGCTGTCACTTTTCCAGCACTGTCTGGACCACGTTCTGTACGAAGTGCTTCACATATGTTATTTCGTTACATTCTCAAGAGACAGGCACCATTACTATCCCCACTTACAGAAGAGGAAACAGGTCTGAAAGAGTATCACTTGCCCAAGATCTCACAGGTAATAAGGTCTCAGTCTTCTAGTGCCTTAATCTCCAACTCACAGGGACCCTCTGACCACTGACTCCCAGGAGAACTCGAACTCACCCTTCTGTTTCTGACTTTTGACCTCTGGGGACACAGGCCCTGGCTTGCTGAGAGGGGAGGAGGAATTTATGTCTTATGTGTTATACCAGAGCGAGCATAGAAAGTCAACACCAAGACAAAAGTATGCCAAATTGCAAGGTCTTTATTGCCGGTGGCCACGGAGGACTCATGTCTCTCCAACCCGTGGCCCAGAAAGGAGGGTGTCAAGATCTTTTATGCCCATAAACCACCTCCTGGGCTGGGGAGGGTGAGGGGCTTCGGACATTCCGATTGTTACTTAAGTGGTTCGCAGAAGTCAAGATAAGCGTTAGTTTACACATTGCCTACGTAGGGTGGAAATTACAAACCTTAGTTACTTATTACAAGTTGCAGAGGCCAAGATGGCGTGGGTTTGGACTGCTTGCCTGTCACATCAGGGTTACAGAGAGCAGTTTCAACACAAAGCCAAGGTATGGTTGAGATATGCAGTTTTATGGGGCTTTTTCCATGTCACAATGTATGCACATTGTTCCCTAGATTGTCATGCGCAGCCTGGGCCAGAAGTGTTTAAGCTTTTCCCGAGCAGAGACAGTGGCACAGCTGAGGAGCACAGAACCTCAAGTGTCTGGTGTGGGTGACCGTCAGTGGTTGTACCAGACATGTACCGAGTTTGGCTTCTGTAAGTGACTGACCTAACCCTGATTTCATCCCCTCAAACAACCTTTTTGCTATGCCCAGAGAAGTCATCTTACAGATTGTCTGGACTCATTTTGACCCAACTCTCAGGCATTGTGTAACCTGTAGATGTGCTGGAGACGGTGGAAGCCATACCAGTGTGTGCATGTGCTTGGCCCTCACATGCCTCCTCACGCACACATTGGTCTCCACTTGAGTGATCTTCTCTTCAGCCTGTTCTTTCTCTGTGTTCTCATTCCAGGGATGGCCCCCTTTCCCCAGCCACCAGACTAGAAACTTGAACCTTGTTTCAGTTGCTGCCTTCCTGTTTTGTAGCTAGCCTGTCAATTACTGAGTCCTCCCCACTTTGCATGGACAACTCTGTAGTCTATCCCTTCTGCTTTCCCTGCCTACCTCTGCTGTCTTCCTAGAAACCTCCATCCTTTCTTGCTTGGATCCCTTCCCAGCCTCCTCTCTGGTCTCCAGGCCTTCACTTCATCTGTACCATCTAACTTCCTCATAGCATCCACGGAGATCTTTAAATATAACCTTGACCCTCCTCCACGCAAAACTACAGCTCCTCAAAGACCCCAGGGTAGTGTTGCCAGATGCAATACTGGATGCCCAATAGATTTTTTTTTTTTTAGTATAATCATGTCCCAAATATTACATATGGTAAAGGCAAAATGTTCAAGTTCCAGCTGCATTTACTACTTATGTGATCCTGGGCAAATGACTGACTTCTCCATGCCTGTTTCCACATCTATAAAATGGGAATACTAACAGTACTTCTCTCATAGGGTTGTTTCAAGGACAAAAATAGGTAATATTTGTAACATTCAAAGAATAATGCCGTTCTATGGTAAGTATTTCTAAGCCCTTGCTATTATTATGATAAAGCTTTACATATTTTAACCCTCTTAATACATTAGTCTTCCTAACACCATACGAACTTTGCACATGCTGTTCACTTTGCTTGGATTATTCCTCTTCAAGTCTAAACAGTGTCAGGGAACCAGCCCAGACATAACCTAGGGAGTAACTGGGGTTGGTGGAGACAAAGAAACTTAGAGACAAAAGTAAGAATGCATAAAGGTGGGCTCCCAGGAGGCCCATGTGAGTAGGATACAAAGGCCCTGAGCACTGGAGGCCCACACTTGAATGAGTGTGTAAACCAAGAAGCCTGTGCTCAGGGATGGGGGTTGTGAAAAGGAAGCAAAGCATCAAGCAAATGATCTATAGCTGTGGTGATTTGGCATCTCCTTGGGAGGCATAGAGCATGCTCTACTTTACGTACACCGAGGAAACAGAGGAAAAAGCTGTTGCTAGAGTAAGCAAGTCTGGCCACATTTTGTCGCTATAAAGAGGTCTTCCTTGCTTTGAGCACAGAGCATGGTCTTCCACTAACTCCCATCTTGTGCCAGATGAGCAGGTCATGGATCAGCTCCTCTCTCAATAAACAGGATGCCCTCCCTCAGGAAGCCATGGTCCCTCAAGATAAGCAGCTGTCCAGCCTCCCACTTCAATAGATCTGTGCTCTTTAGCATTTTACGCAATCTGTCATCATACATTTTTTATTGCCTCTCTTCCCCTCTGGACTGATCCTGTGACAGCAGAGCCTGGAGCTGTCTTGGTGTGCCCAATATGGCACAGCATTTATCTGAGCACATGGTAGGTGGTCAGCAAATAGGGAGGGAAGGAATGAATTAATCTGATGTTATGGAAGTTAGATTTACCCTGAAAACACAGTGAGCTGTGGGTTTTAAGCAGGGAAGATGTGACACAGCTTGAGCTTCGAGCACTCCAGACCTTTGCACATGCTACTTCCTCTCTTTACTATGCCTCCTCTTCTCTGTCTTTGTTTGGCTCAGTCCTGCTAACTTCTCAAGGTCTTATCCTTTGCAGGACGCTCTCCCTGAGCCCATCATGTTTCCTCTGGGCTCCCTGCTTTCTGGCCTTTTTCCTTCACAGCCCTGATCACTCTGGCCTGTCACTGTTGGGGGATCTGTGAGAGTCTCTATGCTAGGATCATGAGCTCCTAGAAGGGAGTACTGGAAATATTTTGGTCATCACTAAGGAAAGCTCTGAAAATGATTATTAAAGGAGAGTGGTGGGCTGGCTGTATACCCACACTTACAGGTATCTCCCTACACAGATGTCACCTGTGAGAATCCCAGATGTCCTTTCTCCCAGCTCCCAGCACTGCCCTCCCAGCTAGACCTATGTGAGCAGGTGTTCGGGCTCTCACCCTTGTCAGTAGCCCAGGCTGTGGCTCAGACGAACACCTACTATGGTGGCCAGACTCCTGGGGCTAACCAAGTGCTGTTTGTTAACGGTGAGCATGCTGTCAAAACCTATGTATGTAGCCCCAGCTCAGCATAGCCCTATCCTCTCCCAGCCCCCATCTACCTAGCCCCACCCTTTCCTTTCTTTCCAGGTGACACAGACCCTTGGCATGTGCTAAGTGTAACACAGGCTTTAGGATCCTCAGAATCAGCTCTTCTCATCCCTTCTGGCTCCCACTGCTTGGACATGGCACCTGAGAGGCCCTCAGACTCCCCCAGCCTCCGCCTAGGGCGCCAGGTAAGAAGGAAAAGGCTCTGAATAATTTGCATTCTTATTTGAATAAGCATTTGCATGTTCCTTTTTTCCTACTGGTGCTGAGATCTGACTTTCCAAACTCTTCCCACCTCCCCACAGAATATCTTCCAGCAGATACAGACCTGGCTGAAGCTGGCAAAGGAGAGCCAGGTTAAGGGTGAGGACTGAATCTCATACCCTTTCCACTCCCTGCATGGCCATCTCAGTCCTGGACATACTCATTCACTGAACAAAAGAGAGCAGCTTGTTTTGAAAGAAGAAACTCCCAGGAACTGGGATTCAGCACATGTTCTGTGTGTAACTGGCATGTGTCAGCAAACATCTTTATTCCCAACTTAAAGTGCTTTGTTGCGGAAAGTTATGGAATTATGTGGGAAGAGATGGCCAGGGGCAGACCTGTGTTACTTACACTTAAATGATTATGAGCTTGCATTGCCTTTTATACACTGAGATTTGTGGCATGGATCATATCCAAACTATGGTGCAGTAAAACAAAAGCAGAGATCAAGCAGTAACGGGAGGCCTCTGGTGAAGACCATCTGAGAGCGTCCTACAACCACCGAACACTCGGTGTGGCTGCAGAGCAGAAAAGAAAAACTGCTTCTTCTCAATAGTGTTCTCATAAGGATCTTGTAAAGGGAGCTTATGCAAAAGACTCTGGGAAGGAAATGCAACATCTGCTCTTAAGACTCGGGAGGGTCTTCTTAGATGGGCGCTAGTAAGGGTGGAAAGCCTTGCAGGGCAGAGACACCGGAATGCCACAGGCTCTGCCTGTGTTCTCAGAATGTGGAGCAGTTTCACTTGCTCTAGGTGCACAATGCTTGGGAGATAAAAGCCACTTGATGCATTGTGTGTGGTCAGACCTCATGGCACCTTGTCCACTGCACCTCTCTTGCCACAAAACACCTGGATAGACAATGATGGTAAAACCTCAGTATCCTTAGCATTTCTTAGGAGAACCGCTTTGAATTGAATGCTGCAGAGACATGCTCTTCGTCTGGCTATCTCCCTCCTCAACCCTCCTCCCCACAGCCTGCAAGATTAACAAGATAATTTACCATAATAAAAGCGCTTGGAGCCTAGAACTTGGAGCAGGTGCAGATCACCCTGTGACAGTGCATTGCACCCCTGGACCCATGCTTTGAAATTCTAGTCTTGTGTCTTTGTCTTTATTTCTTTTCTCATCCCTCGTCACTGCCGGGACAGAGTGCACCCACACACAGCTTTGGGCTGGTTCCCAACAGAATTATAGGTGGATGATTATTCTCATTGTAAATAAATATTGGTGTTTTGAATGTTAAATATCAAAGAAATGTGACAGGATGCCCTCCCTCCTGTTATATTTCTTTGATGCCCTCCCCCTGCTGATCAGATTCTTGTTCAAATTCTGCCACCCCTGCTCCTGGGTTAGGGGCTATGCTGTAAGTTTCTGTTTCTGGACTTCAGACCCTGGTCCTGTCCCTGCTTCTCAGTTTCTCTCACTGTACCCCTTTACCTCTGTCCGTTTCTTCCTCTCTCTTTCCCTGTCGCCATCTGTCTTTCTAATCTTGTTTCTCCAAACATCTTCATTTCTATCTCTGTGTTTTAGTCTGTTTCTCTGTTTATCATTTGTCCTTTGATCTGTGTTTGTTCTCTGGCTCTCCGGCAGTGCCTTTGTCTCTCCTCTCTCTTGCTCTGCTGGGCTGTTTCCACTGCTCTCTTTCTGACTCACTTGTGGTCTCTGTGTTTCTCCTAGTCACTTTCTCTTTCTGTGTCTCTATTTTCCTCTCTCCTCTGCTGTCTCCTCAATCTATCTGTCTCCCTGAGCCTCTGTTTCTTTGACGCTCTTCTCTGTCTCTATTTCTCTTCCTGTCACTTAATCTTTGTCCTCTATCTCCACACCTTCCTTCCACACCCTTCACTCACCATCTCTTCCCACAATCAAAAATCACTCCCTAGTACTTCCAGCTTCCAACCCTAGGAGTTTATGGTTCTGGTGGAGACTCCTTTCAGGACCAGGGAGGACAGAGCTAATTTCAAGGGTGCCTGCTTAGGCTGTGTTAGCCGTGACAAGAAACTGCCATAGATTTGCACCATTCTTTCCTAACACTCAATGGTTTTCAGCAATAAATATGTCTCAGCATTTTGTACATCTTCGTATGCACAGAGATGGTAGTAGTAGAGTTTTATTCAGTTTCATAGATCCTTCTTGGTAAGAGGCAACCTTCTCATGCTATCATACCGGAGTGAATCTCCACTATAGTTCTGCCTGCCCTTGATCTTTATATAAATGGAAACATACAGTACATACTTTGTGTCTGGAAGTTTGAAATCAAGGTGTCAGCAGAGACATTCTCTTTCTCACAGCTCTAGGAGAGAATCCTTCCCTGCCTCTTCCAGCATCTGGGGTTTGTCCCTTGGCCTGCGGATGTGTCACTCCAGTCACATGGCTGTGCTCCCTGTGTGCCTTCACGTCACCTTCCTTCTGCACCTGCCTGTCCTTGTGTGCAAATTTCCCCTTTTATAAGGGTACCAGCTATCTTGGGCTACAGCCCAGCCTATTGGCCTCATTTTAATTTGGTTTCCTCTGTGAACACCCTATTTCCAAATATGGTCACAGGTTGAGGAACTGGGGGTGAGTTCAACATATCTTTTTTCGGGAGAAAATGGGACACCGTTGAATCCATAACACCCCCAAATGATAACAAATGAAGGCTGTTTATTCAGAACTTGTCGTACCAGGAGAGTCCACCATCATCACTTGTGTTTGGCAGCGACTCACAGCAGGCAGAGGAGTGGGAAAGTGGGATAGTGGAAAAAGAAGGTTCTAGGTATGGCTTAACTGGAGGCCGTGGCCTGGGGAAGCGGTGCGCAGGCTAACTAGATGAGAGGCATCAGATGTGATTGGTTGAGAGTGTATGTGTGGCTTTTCCTCATTGGTCCTAAGTTGAAAGCAAGGGCAAAAATCAGGGAATTCTGAGTTATTGCAGTTAGTAAGTGCTGGCCATTTGGAGCCAATCAATATCTAGGGGTATTATTATTTGTCTTCCCCTACTGTTTGCCACAGACACTAACTTGACTTCCTGGAATGGTTACTATAAATAGTAGGCTGGCTTTCTGGGCTGGTTACTTCAGGTTTTAGGTCAGAGGTCTATTTCTACTTTTAGTTTGGTCATTATCCATTTGTATCTTCAATCTCTTGGATCTAATGTGGCTGGAGATTGCTAAGTCCAGGGAGTTTACAAGTCTACTCTGCATTCAGCCAGAGACAGTACCCTTTCTGGGCTTTACTGAGCCAACTTCTGGATCCTGGGTATTTGTGCATGTGCAGTCTTCCAGACCTCCAGAGATGAGTGGGTGGTCTGGAAGGCTGTGCACAGCACAAGGGTAGGGTGCTCTTTGGCTGTCCCTAGATGTCCTTTTAAAATTTCTGATAGATTTTTTTTTTTTTTTTTTTTTAATATGGAGGCTCACTTTGTCACCCAGGTTGGAGTGCAATGGAGTAATCTTAGCTCACTGCAACCTCTGCCTCCTGGTTCAAGTGAGTCTCCTCCCTCAGCCTCCTGAGTAGCTGAGACTACAGGTGTGTACCACCACACGTGGCTAATTTTTGTATTTTTAGTAGAGACAGTGTTTCACCGTGTTAGCCAAGATGAAATTTCTGGTAGATTTCTAAATTAAATATATTAATTTGTATGCTTCTGTTAGTATCCTTGAAATATCAGCCTTCCCTGATTACTCTTCACTGTGACCTCTATTGTTTTCAATATTGCCCTTGGGCTGGATTTCCTTGTCCTACTCCAAATAAAGTCAACCCCTTCAGGCAGGGGCCCTGAACAGCCAGTCATCAAGGTTTGCCGGGCCTGCGAGGACAGAACCTCTTTAGGACAGAGTTGGAGCTTCAGGGAAGTGGGAATAGGAGCCACCAGTCCTTCCCGTCCCCATGGCCCAGTCTTGGAGTGGAACTGCCTTGCCAGGGAGTAGGAGTGGGGCTCACAGGAGCAATGGGAGTCACTGGTCCTCACAGGCTGCCCTTCATGTCTAGGATGAGACTTCTACTGAAGTGGAAGTTTCGCCCAGGATTTTGTTAGCACATAGTCAGCAACTTCCCTGTTTTAAAACTGCCCCTGTTTTTCTAATAACCGCATCTTTCTGCTTCTGTACCTCAGCTTATTGCTTACCAGCTAAAAACCTTCAGGAAAACCGCCGCATCGTCTAAACCTGCTGCACTGTCTGAAGCTCTGAGTTACTCCCGGGCCCCTTCACCTGTGAAAACCGTGGGCTGTTCTTAGCCGCGTCCAGATTCTGGGCGTAGTAAAGAGTGCGCCTCCGTTCCCCTGACGGCCGCCTGGGTTTCCTGTCAGGTAACACTTTCCACATTTGGTTCCCTGACCGGCCCCTTGAGCCGCCGGTTTGGGGTCAGAAAGGACGGACAGCTCGCCTGTGCCCCACCGGGGAACCAGGCAGCTCCCCGCCCCCTAAGCTGCTCCAGGGCCTCCTTCCCTGGAAGCGGAACCACTGCTGCTCCGGCGTTGCTGCTGGCCGGACGCGCGGGGGAGACGGACTGAACTGAGGGGAACTCCGGATGAGGTAAGGCTCCGGGACCGACTCTAGTCAGGCCCGTCTGAGGACGCAAGGGGAGCCCGGTCACCTCCCGGGGTCTC